AAAACCCGTGCTGTTTGCAGTTGGTCGATCAGTTCGTCGGCGCAGGGAATGGGGTACCGCGACTTGACTGTTACCCTGTTGAGCGCTCGGTAATCGATGCACCTGCAAAACCCTCTGTCTTTTTTTGGCGTGAACAGTATCGGTGCGGCGAACGGTGACGAGCTCGGTCGGATGAATTTCTTCTCTAACAAGGAATCTAACTGCTTCCTCAGTTCGTCGAGCTCGGGTTGTGTCAGTCTGAACTGGCGCTGTACAATTGGCTGTGCCCCCGGTTCTAATTCTATTCGGTGGTCATGTGCTCGCTGAGGTGGCAGTCCTTCCGGTAAGTCGTCGGGAAAAATCCCGGGGTATCGTTTCAACAGTTCCTGCAGTTCGGGCGGTACCACTGCCAGCAGTTTCTTGAAATCACTCGGCTGCTCCGCTCCCTCTACCACTGCAATGTCTACTGCGTACACGTCAGCTCCAGCAGCGACAGCCCGTTTCATGGTGACGGCGTTGACGTGTACCGTTGAAGACTCGGGCGACTGCCAGCGAGGTAGCTCAACCCAGTTACCACTACTTCGCACAGTGCAGCTACCCGTCGTCCAGTCAATTCGCGGGTTATACCGTCGCAGCCAATCACGTCCCAGTAAAATGTTGTGCCCATCTAGTGTCGTCGCGAGCATTTCCTGTGTAAATCCAAAATGCGGACTTTGACTCCCTCCACCCTTTCCCGTATGGCCAGTGGCGTGTCGTCAACTAAGCGTGCATCTATCTCAGGTAAACAACGGCTAAGTGTCAGTTGCAGTTTTCGTGCGGTTGCGGTATTAACTAAACTGTGACTTGCTCCTCCGTCGATAAAAATCTTCACTGCTGCTCCCTGTATTTTCCCGTGGATCAGTACTGGGCAATCCGTCGCTGTACCCTCCTTATTCGTCCGAGCCCGATCGATAGCATGAATCGGTACTGTGACTCGGTGAGGGTCGGTGGGGTTGGGCGAGCAGGCAGTCTCGTCGGTAGTTGGCCCGATTCCTACTGACTGCTGGCGTAGCCCTGCCTTGGAGACTCCCTCCCCTGCTCTGCTCCGCGGCGCCTCAGCTCCTCTGGGCATTCACTCTTGCGATGGCTCGGCCTATTGCAAGCAAAGTAGCGCCCCTTAAACGGCGCGGCAGCTGCATTCGTCGCAACGGCATGTACGGTGGTGTGCTCGATCGGTCCCCGAGGGCGATGTCCGTAGTAGGACCCCGGTCTCGGACGGCGCAAAATGTCGATTTTCTCGGCGAGCGCGAGAATCTTGTTGAGATTCGAGAGTCCGCGTAGCATGATTTCGTGCGAAATGTCCGGCTTCAGCCTTCCGACGTAACGGTCCACCCGCTCCGCTTCGTGCATGTAGCCGACTTGCTCGCATAATGCGAGAAAACCGCTCGTGTAGTCTTGAACCGACCCGAGCTGCCGCCAAGTACGCAGTCTCTGACGCGCCGAAATAAGAGCCGCGATTGGCTCGAAGCGCGCCCGAAGCCCTGCGCACCACGCATCCCATGTGCTGTACTGGGCGGTTTCGCAGAATGAACTCCAGGTGACAGCTGGGCAAAAGTTTAGAAGCAGAAAGAGGGGTTGCACTAGCAAGCAGTTGAGTACATATAGGAAACCCTAAATTGGGCTGTACTCGCTATAGAGTACCCCACTGCAGGCTAGACAAATACAGCATTCTGACACACCCCCATAGCCAAAGTGGGGTGTAATCAGCACAACAAGCATGCAGAGCATGTCAAACTCATATGCTATAGTCTGTGTAGGCTGTAGTGGGGTAGACAATATAGGGTACAACACTTTTAGGTTTTCCTACTTGTACCCACCTGCTTGCTAGTTCATTCATTCCTCATTTCTTCACAGAGCAATAGTTCACAATGATAAGCAAAGCTAGTGGCTATCACAGAGGGCAAGTGAGGAGGAGGAGAGACCGTGAGGGCGAGAAGATGGGAGGCGACTGCTGAAGCTGCAGACACACCGGAGCTGCTGGCTCAGTGGCTACCGAAGCAAAGGCCCGGACTACAGGAGTAACTGGCTCCGCGGAGATTGTAGCCTCATGACTGGAGCAACTGACCCACAGGCGACTGGCGACTACTGGAGATTGTAGCCTCCGGACTACTGGTGCTGCTGGCGACACGACTGCGACCTCCGTTCAACCTCCGCCAACTGCCCCACGCCCCTATCACACACCCCCTGCTGCACCCCTAGCTCCACTCCCACGACACCCCCCTTAAACCCTAAACCCTCGGCTCCCACACACCCACCCCCCTCAGCGGCAGCTGCAGCAGTGGGAGACGGAGGAGGAGGAGGAGCTGCAGGTTACCCACACCGGTCACCCCCACGCCCGCCACCCCCAAACCCTAACGCAGGCAGGAGCGCGGGAAGCAGTAGGGACGGTTCACGGAGGGAAAGGGATGCGGCGGGGGGTCTCCTGGGCGCCACGAAGGAGCAGGGCGCGGGCCCCCCGAGGGCGCCACGGCGGGTGACGGGAGGGGGGCCGCGCACGGGCCTGGCGCAGCCCGTACGGGCCGCGCGCGGGCCTGGTGCAGCCCGTACGGGTCGCGCGCGGGCCTGGCGCAGCCCGTACGGGCCGCGCGCGGGCCTGGCGCAGGTCGCCCGGGCCGCGACGGGCGACGGGGGGCGACGCGACGGTCGGCAGGGGGCGACGCGCGGTTCGACGGGGCAGAAAGCCGCCGCGCGCTAAAAATCGTTGCGCGCCCGGAGCGCGCGGCAGGCAGGAAACAGCACGCGCCCGGGGCGCGTTACAGGCAGTAGAGCAGCGGAAGCATCGGGTGGGGCCCACCCACAGGATCGACCCAGGAGGGTCGACCTGCTCTGATACCATGTCGAATAGTTAGGCAAAAGTTTAGAAGCAGAAAGAGGGGTTGCACTAGCAAGCAGTTGAGTACATATAGGAAACCCTAAATTGGGCTGTACTCGCTATAGAGTACCCCACTTCAGGCTAGACAAATACAACATTCTGACACTCAGCTCCTCTGGGCATTCACTATTGCGATGGCTCGGCCTATTGCAAGCAAAGCAGCGCCCCTTAAACGGCGCGGCAGCTGCATTCGTCGCAACGGCATGTACGGTGGCGTGCTCGATCGGTCCCCGAGGACGATGTCCGTAGTAGGACCCCGGTCTCGGACGGCGCAAAATGTCGATTTTCTCTGCGAGCGCGAGAATCTTGTTGAGATTCGAGAGTCAGCGTAGCATGATTTCGTGCGAAATGTCCGGCTTCAGCCCTCCGTCGTAACGGTCCACCCGCTCCGCTTCGTGCATGTAGCCGACTTGCTCGCATAATGCGAGAAAACCGCTCGTGTAGTCTTGAACCGACCCGAGCTGCCGCCAAGTACGCAGTCTCTGACGCGCCGAAATAAAAGCCGCGATTGGCTCGAAGCGCGCCCGAAGCCCTGTGCACCACGCATCCCATGTGCTAACCTGGGCGGTTTCGCAGAATGAACTCCAGGTTTCAGCTGGACCCGTGGGCCCTTCCTCTTGCGACGGTGGCTCGTAGGCGCGTGGCGACGTCACGATGACTCGCCACCAGTCCATGGCGGGGCCCCTCAGTAGCGAGACGACGTATCTGATCTTCGCTGCGTCCGACTCGACGTAGTTTGCGTCGAAACATACGTTCATCGTGAAGACCCACGACTGAACCGTCGGACCTCCACGCTGACTCGGGTCGAAACAGGGCGGGCGCTGCGGCTTCAGTGGCATTGGCGTCATGATGGTGTGGTCGCCACTAGTCGCCGCAAATTCCACGTGCCGACGGGCTTCGCGAGGCTCCCGTGGGCTTGGCGCGACCCTGTTCCTCTCCATGCCCGGCATCGAGTGGGCGGCGCCATCAGTGGCTGCGCCTGAGCGCTGTCCCACGCTGTCGTTCTGTGTTGGTGTGCCTGATGAAATGACGATCGGCTCCTCCGATTGTGCAGGTGCATTTGCAGGTGCGTGTGGTGGCGCCTGAGTATTCATCGTGGATTGCTGACGCGCGGAGTCACGTTCCGCCGTGAGCGTCGCAATTTCGAGCGCCGATTCTTCAACTTGGCGCACGAGACGGTCGATTTGCTCTTGCGTCAGTGTCGCGAGAGTAAATTCGGCCATGGCGGGGGAGTCGGGCAAGCTCAGCGAGAGCCTCTGTCGTGGCCGTGCGTGCTTACGAGAGAGCACTACGAGCGGCGGTGCTGTGTCGCTGAGAGACGTCTACCCCCCCCCAAAAATTGAGATAGTGGGGAAGCGAAGGTGTGGGTACGGTCCGAGAAGAGATCGTAGGCTCTGAATACCAAGTGTTACGAGTGCAATTGAGTGAGCGAGTGAGAATTGCACGATCGAAGCAAGAGTACAATAAGCGAAGGCATGAGCGAAGAATATATAGCGAAACTACAGTGGTAACGGTAATGGACTGTGGCTGTCACGCAACGGGCCTGGGACTGAGGTTTGGGGGAATGTCGAAGCGGAGGCCCGGAGCGCGGGTTACCTGCCGAGCCGTGAGGTCGGGGTGCGACGTGCGAAGGTGGCGGGAGGATTATCGATGCGAGGGTTGCGAGTGGTAACGGTGCTGACTGTGGTGCTACAGTGGTGTACGCGCTCAGCGGGGACGCGAAGTAAGGAAAAGGAATTTTCCTTACACCTGCTATCGAGGACCCTACCTGAGTATAATTGCAGCAAAATAGTGTGGCACAACCATATATGGGAATCAACTTGGATTGGATACTGCTTGAAACCACAAATTAATGCATTCTTCCCAGCACTAATGTGTGGCAGAGAAGCGGCCACAAAACTACGCAAAGCTGATTGGCAGCTTCATGCCCATCTTGGCACAGTCCTTCCCAACCGTGCTAAAAAAGTAATAAGAATTATAAAAAAGTGCGACAGACTTCTTGGCCTTGCTCGTGGCCCCGACGATCATCTTGCTGACAGACTCAGTGTCACAGCCTTCCATTGCTGCTCGCGTACTGGCCATCACAAGATCGTGCTTCTTGCCCATCACTTTACCAATACCGCCTCCCCACTTGAAGACTGCAGTCAGGGGAGACAAGGACGAGACACGGGAGGGAAGCAGGCGTGCGTTAGGAGGACCAAGCTGAGGGGTCGTTTGAGACGTCTCAAAGTCGAGACACGGAAGCAGGCGTGTGTCAGGAACCTAGCCGAGGGTACACGGATGCATGGTAGGGGCGTCTGTGCCCAATATTGCTGGTAGCAATAGTTTGCAAGGAAGGAGGTGCTTTTAGGATGACAGCATGATGAGGGTGACAGCATGATGAGGGTGACAGCATGATGAGGGTGACAGCATGATGAGGGTGACAGCATGATGAGGGTGACAGCATGATGAGGGTGACAGCATGATGAGGGTGACAGCATGATGAGGGTGACAGCATGATGAGGGTGACAGCATGATGAGGGTGACAGCATGATGAGGGTGACAGCATGATGAGGGTGACAGCATGATGAGGGTGACAGCATGATGAGGGTGACAGCATGATGAGGGTGACAGCATGATGAGGGTGACAGCATGATGAGGGTGACAGCATGATGAGGGTGACAGCATGATGAGGGTGACAGCATGATGAGGGTGACAGCATGATGAGGGTGACAGCATGATGAGGGTGACAGCATGATGAGGGTGACAGCATGATGAGGGTGACAGCATGATGAGGGTGACAGCATGATGAGGGTGACAGCATGATGAGGGTGACAGCATGATGAGGGTGACAGCATGATGAGGGTGACAGCATGATGAGGGTGACAGCATGATGAGGGTGACAGCATGATGAGGGTGACAGCATGATGAGGGTGACAGCATGATGAGGGTGACAGCATGATGAGGGTGACAGCATGATGAGGGTGACAGCATGATGAGGGTGACAGCATGATGAGGGTGACAGCATGATGAGGGTGACAGCATGATGAGGGTGACAGCATGATGAGGGTGACAGCATGATGAGGGTGACAGCATGATGAGGGTGACAGCATGATGAGGGTGACAGCATGATGAGGGTGACAGCATGATGAGGGTGACAGCATGATGAGGGTGACAGCATGATGAGGGTGACAGCATGATGAGGGTGACAGCATGATGAGGGTGACAGCATGATGAGGGTGACAGCATGATGAGGGTGACAGCATGATGAGGGTGACAGCATGATGAGGGTGACAGCATGATGAGGGTGACAGCATGATGAGGGTGACAGCATGATGAGGGTGACAGCATGATGAGGGTGACAGCATGATGAGGGTGACAGCATGATGAGGGTGACAGCATGATGAGGGTGACAGCATGATGAGGGTGACAGCATGATGAGGGTGACAGCATGATGAGGGTGACAGCATGATGAGGGTGACAGCATGATGAGGGTGACAGCATGATGAGGGTGACAGCATGATGAGGGTGACAGCATGATGAGGGTGACAGCATGATGAGGGTGACAGCATGATGAGGGTGACAGCATGATGAGGGTGACAGCATGATGAGGGTGACAGCATGATGAGGGTGACAGCATGATGAGGGTGACAGCATGATGAGGGTGACAGCATGATGAGGGTGACAGCATGATGAGGGTGACAGCATGATGAGGGTGACAGCATGATGAGGGTGACAGCATGATGAGGGTGACAGCATGATGAGGGTGACAGCATGATGAGGGTGACAGCATGATGAGGGTGACAGCATGATGAGGGTGACAGCATGATGAGGGTGACAGCATGATGAGGGTGACAGCATGATGAGGGTGACAGCATGATGAGGGTGACAGCATGATGAGGGTGACAGCATGATGAGGGTGACAGCATGATGAGGGTGACAGCATGATGAGGGTGACAGCATGATGAGGGTGACAGCATGATGAGGGTGACAGCATGATGAGGGTGACAGCATGATGAGGGTGACAGCATGATGAGGGTGACAGCATGATGAGGGTGACAGCATGATGAGGGTGACAGCATGATGAGGGTGACAGCATGATGAGGGTGACAGCATGATGAGGGTGACAGCATGATGAGGGTGACAGCATGATGAGGGTGACAGCATGATGAGGGTGACAGCATGATGAGGGTGACAGCATGATGAGGGTGACAGCATGATGAGGGTGACAGCATGATGAGGGTGACAGCATGTAGATGATGAGGGTGACAGCATGATGAGGGTGACAGCATGATGAGGGTGACAGCATGATGAGGGTGACAGCATGATGAGGGTGACAGCATGATGAGGGTGACAGCATGATGAGGGTGACAGCATGATGAGGGTGACAGCATGATGAGGGTGACAGCATGATGAGGGTGACAGCATGATGAGGGTGACAGCATGATGAGGGTGACAGCATGATGAGGGTGACAGCATGATGAGGGTGACAGCATGATGAGGGTGACAGCATGATGAGGGTGACAGCATGATGAGGGTGACAGCATGATGAGGGTGACAGCATGATGAGGGTGACAGCATGATGAGGGTGACAGCATGATGAGGGTGACAGCATGATGAGGGTGACAGCATGATGAGGGTGACAGCATGATGAGGGTGACAGCATGATGAGGGTGACAGCATGATGAGGGTGACAGCATGATGAGGGTGACAGCATGATGAGGGTGACAGCATGATGAGGGTGACAGCATGATGAGGGTGACAGCATGATGAGGGTGACAGCATGATGAGGGTGACAGCATGATGAGGGTGACAGCATGATGAGGGTGACAGCATGATGAGGGTGACAGCATGATGAGGGTGACAGCATGATGAGGGTGACAGCATGATGAGGGTGACAGCATGATGAGGGTGACAGCATGATGAGGGTGACAGCATGATGAGGGTGACAGCATGATGAGGGTGACAGCATGATGAGGGTGACAGCATGATGAGGGTGACAGCATGATGAGGGTGACAGCATGATGAGGGTGACAGCATGATGAGGGTGACAGCATGATGAGGGTGACAGCATGATGAGGGTGACAGCATGACATGATGAGGGTGACAGCATGATGAGGGTGACAGCATGATGAGCGTGACAGCATGATGAGGGTGACAGCATGATGAGGGTGACAGCATGATGAGGGTGACAGCATGATGAGGGTGACAGCATAATGAGGGTGACAGCATGATGAGGGTGACAGCATGATGAGCGTGACAGCATGATGAGGGTGACAGCATGATGAGGGTGACAGCATGATGAGGGTGACAGCATGATGAGGGTGACAGCATGATGAGGGTGACAGCATGATGAGGGTGACAGCATGATGAGGGTGACAGCATGATGAGGGTGACAGCATGATGAGGGTGACAGCATGATGAGGGTGACAGCATGATGAGGGTGACAGCATGATGAGGGTGACAGCATGATGAGGGTGACAGCATGATGAGGGTGACAGCATGATGAGGGTGACAGCATGATGAGGGTGACAGCATGATGAGGGTGACAGCATGATGAGGGTGACAGCATGATGAGGGTGACAGCATGATGAGGGTGACAGCATGATGAGGGTGACAGCATGATGAGGGTGACAGCATGATGAGGGTGACAGCATGATGAGCGTGACAGCATGATGAGGGTGACAGCATGATGAGGGTGACAGCATGATGAGGGTGACAGCATGATGAGGGTGACAGCATGATGAGGGTGACAGCATGATGAGGGTGACAGCATGATGAGGGTGACAGCATGATGAGCGTGACAGCATGATGAGGGTGACAGCATGATGAGGGTGACAGCATGATGAGGGTGACAGCATGATGAGGGTGACAGCATAATGAGGGTGACAGCATGATGAGGGTGACAGCATGATGAGCGTGACAGCATGATGAGGGTGACAGCATGATGAGGGTGACAGCATGATGAGGGTGACAGCATGATGAGGGTGACAGCATGATGAGGGTGACAGCATGATGAGGGTGACAGCATGATGAGGGTGACAGCATGATGAGGGTGACAGCATAATGAGGGTGACAGCATGATGAGGGTGACAGCATGATGAGCGTGACAGCATGATGAGGGTGACAGCATGATGAGGGTGACAGCATGATGAGGGTGACAGCATGATGAGGGTGACAGCATGATGAGGGTGACAGCATGATGAGGGTGACAGCATGATGAGGGTGACAGCATGATGAGGGTGACAGCATGATGAGGGTGACAGCATGATGAGGGTGACAGCATGATGAGGGTGACAGCATGATGAGGGTGACAGCATGATGAGGGTGACAGCATGATGAGGGTGACAGCATGATGAGGGTGACAGCATGATGAGCGTGACAGCATGATGAGGGTGACAGCATGATGAGGGTGACAGCATGATGAGGGTGACAGCATGATGAGGGTGACAGCATGATGAGGGTGACAGCATGATGAGGGTGACAGCATGATGAGGGTGACAGCATGATGAGGGTGACAGCATGATGAGGGTGACAGGTGGGCATTCGGTAGAGAGTGGCGATATAGGATAATTGTGGGTGAGTGTCAGATGTATTGCAACGTCAACAACATTCTAAAGCAGCCCTTTTGATGCTGTTGTACGTGCTGCAAGCTTGAAGCATTGTGAGGCGTACCTAGTACATCGCTTGAAGCATTCTGAAACGTACCTAGGACATCGTCTTGGTTAATGTTGGGTACTTTCCAAGACTTGACTCCAGGCCAGCCCTTGCTGCCGCCAGCCACGTACGTTGCTGCATGCTGCATGGGGCGGACGGGACGGGACGTGACGAGACATCATAAGCGTTCAGAGCAGCACTAGCACCAGCCACTACTGTGGCGGCATGCAGCATGTGACTGAATGTAACTGTATGTGTTCAATACACGCGTGTAACTGCGACAAATAGCAAAGTTTGCAGTAGGTGCGCGTAATGCACCAACGAGGAAATGAGGAGATACGGAAGGAGAAGGGTCCTTGAGAGGGCAGCGGAAGCGTAAAATAAAGGAGGAACCTGGGAAGGAGGCATAAGGGTTTTGCGGCAGCGGACTTACCACGACTGAAGGGCGGGTGCCCAGAAGGTCCAACGAGCAGCCTGCACAGTGATGGAAAAACAGTAGTGGGTGACAGTAGTGGGTGACAGTAGTGGGTGACAGTAGTGGGTGACAGTAGTGGGTGACAGTAGTGGGTGACAGTAGTGGGTGACAGTAGTGGGTGACAGTAGTGGGTGACAGTAGTGGGTGACAGTAGTGGGTGACAGTAGTGGGTGACAGTAGTGGGGGACAGTAGTGGGTGACAGTAGTGGGTGACAGTAGTGGGTGACAGTAGTGGGTGACAGTAGTGGGTGACGGTAGTGGGTGACAGTAGTGGGTGATGGTAGTGGGTGACAGTAGTGGTCGACAGTAGTGGGTGACAGTACAGCCACACACAACAAAAGGTTGCGCAGTTTTACCACGTGGAGCAGCACAGCACAGCACAGCACAGCACAGCACAGCACCGCACAGCACAGCACAGCACAGCACAGAAAAGCACCGCACAGTATATCAAGAACAAGTAGAAATTTCAAGCCACGGCACACAGCAGAGACATCCGAGTGCCAGGTCAAGTGGATCGGGGTTTCGGGTTTCAGGTTATAAGAAACACTTTAATCGACTCAAAAGCAGCCGCTTGGCAAGCTTGAAGCCGCGATGTCGCGTCTTATTTAGCCCAGCTACGCGGGACTCGACGGTAATTGCAACCAGACGTTAAAAAATAACGAGATATCAAGCTGGTACATACGTGTACCATACATTTTAGAAATAGGTGACCTCAAGCTGGTACATACATGTACCATACAGACTTACGTGGTGGCAGCAGCACGAGATCTGGCTTCGTACCTGCCAGGATCAGCAGCAGCGCGATCAGGGACAGCCGAGTCATGGTCGCGCGTGGGAGAGGAGCCGTCGTCGTCAAATCGAGTTGCTGAACACGGCTGAGGTTGCGTAGTGCCAGAGCCACTAGAGCAGTGCTCTGGCGTGATTCTTGCTAAGAAATTGCTGGTTCTGATACTCGATGGCCCGACGCTTTCTCGCTCCTTTGTCGTGTCGTACTCGTTCGCCGGCCGGCGTCGGTGACGGGGGACACATTAACGAGTCCCTCCCGCGAGGCAAACGTGCGCGAGGCCCGGGGGGCGCGGAGAGAGGCCCTGGCGCCAGCGGAGACAGGAATCTTGGGTTCCCCGTGTCTTCGGTTCGCTTGTGAAAGAGAGTGGTGCAGAATGGTGCAGAACTCGACATAATGTCAACCATTCAGCGGCTGCAGAAGCATTACTCAACAAGATCACAGCCAAACAGTTGACATTTGTTAGGTTCGACAAAAGTGTACTGAATGTGATCAACTGAACGGCACCCCCCAGCATCCCCTGGTTAGAGGCGGGAAGTTTGTTTGATTTCGGACAACGCGACGCGACGCATCCATCGAGGGGATGTGCGAACGAACAGGATCGTCGGACAAGTGTTGGTGTGGTCATCTTAACATCAGCCTGGGAAGGCCTTCAGGCGTCCCTAATCGCTGGCGGTTGGGAAATGGCGGTGCGAGTGGACGCATCAGCGTTGAGATTATCGACGGGGGTGCTGCTAGATTATGCTTCACTAATGTTTCCCCGATACGAAGGGTCAATGGTTGCGGGGTATAAATTGGGATGTACTATAACGCAATTGTTAAAAACAAGACACAAGACTGCTTATTGTAGCACCACATGTTTTCTATACGCGAGTACATGCCCTTGCAGCTCCCTGTCAACAGGGAAGTGTGCGTGGAAGAAACGCGCCACCTGCAAACCAAGGCAAACAACCACCAACACGATATTGTAATAATAATTTTATTTACTTTTGTACAGAGTCCGCACAACTGCTGAAGACTGAAATCAAGGGCTTCATTCCAGTAGTCATTCCGAATCCGCATGGGAGAAGCACATGCCTCTGTGTACCCAACACACTGAAGGAACGGCAGCAGCAGCAGCAGCAATGCGAATGAGAGGAGCACGTTACGTACCTCAGTGTAGCCAGCACAACGGAGGAACGGCAGCAGCAGCGGCTGCTCCGTGTCGAATGCAACCACCAGATCCAGCAGCTCTGGCCGCCCACCTCCTTTCACCCCGTAGCACCCTTCCAAAGCCAAGCACGTACCTCAGTGTACCCGGCACAACGGAGAAACGGCAGCAGCAGCGCCTCCTCTGTGTCGAATGCAACCACCAGATCTGGCAGCTCCGGCCGCCCACCTCCATCCACCCCATAGCACCCATCCAAACATCTTCCCTCTATCTGTTCAAAATCGCCCGCACATGCACGGACATCTGCTGCTGCTTCCCCACCTCCTCCCCCATGCTCGTGCTCATGCCCATCAGCAAGCGCATGCCCATGCTCCCCGTGCATGCATGCCCCCTGCTCTGCCGTCCCGCTGCTGCTGCCTCTGCACGTGGCGGGGGTGCCAGCGTGGAAATCGGCTGTAGCGTCATAAACACAATGAGAGGCGGCTGTAGCACTGTGAGCAGCAGCAGGTGCTGCAGCACTGTGAGCAGCAGCAGCAGCAGCAGCAGAAGCTGCTGTAGCGGGGCGAGCAGCAGCAGCGCCTGCTGTAGCACCATGGCCCAGACCCGAGATGCATGCATGAACAGATGTATGGACGGTGTAGCGAGATGAGAGGAAGTCACGTGGGTCGGCGAGAAGATCTTCAAACTCCCTTTCACGGGACATGGTGATGGTGCCGTTGGGATGGGCTAGAGGGAGGGGAGGGGAATGGGGATGGGGATGTGGTGTAGAGGGAGGGGAGGGGAATGGGGATGGGGATGTGGTGTAGAGGGAGGGGAGGGGAATGGGGATGGGGATGTGGTGTAGAGGGAGGGGAGGGGAATGGGGATGGGGATGTGGTGTAGAGGGAGGGGAGGGGAATGGGGATGGGGATGTGGTGTAGAGGGAGGGGAGGGGAATGGGGATGGGGATGTGGTGTAGAGGGAGGGGAGGGGAATGGGGATGGGGATGTGGTGTAGAGGGAGGGGAGGGGAATGGGGATGGGGATGTGGTGTAGAGGGAGGGGAGGGGAATGGGGATGGGGATGTGGTGTAGAGGGAGGGGAGGGGAATGGGGATGGGGATGTGGTGTAGAGGGAGGGGAGGGGAATGGGGATGGGGATGTGGTGTAGAGGGAGGGGAGGGGAATGGGGATGGGGATGTGGTGTAGAGGGAGGGGAGGGGAATGGGGATGGGGATGTGGTGTAGAGGGAGGGGAGGGGAATGGGGATGGGGATGTGGTGTAGAGGGAGGGGAGGGGAATGGGGATGGGGATGTGGTGTAGAGGGAGGGGAGGGGAATGGGGATGGGGATGTGGTGTAGAGGGAGGGGAGGGGAATGGGGATGGGGATGTGGTGTAGAGGGAGGGGAGGGGAATGGGGATGGGGATGTGGTGTAGAGGGAGGGGAGGGGAATGGGGATGGGGATGTGGTGTAGAGGGAGGGGAGGGGAATGGGGATGGGGATGTGGTGTAGAGGGAGGGGAGGGGAATGGGGATGGGCCTGAAATCTCTCTGAACCTATTTTTTGCTCTAAAGAAACCGCTGCCTCGTAATGTCTCCCACCACAAAGTGGTGCTCCTCGAGGGGAATGGGGATGGGGATGTGGTGTAGAGGGAGGAAGGCGTGTGGGATGGCAAGCAGACCTTGAAACTCCCTTACACCAGACATGCAAACCTTGAAACTCCCTTTCACGAAACATGGTGATGGTGCCGTTGGGATGGGCTGGAGGGAGGGGATGAGAATGGGGATGGGGATGCGGTGTAGAGGGATGAGGCATGTGGGATGGCAAGCAGACCTTCAAATTCCCTTTCACGACACATGGTGATGGTGCCGTTGGGATGGGCTGGAGGGAGTGATGGGGAGCGAAACGAGGGGAAGAGGTGGGGCGAGAGGAAAGGATTGCAGAGCGGTGTAGTGGGATGTGACGGATACATGTGGTTCTGCCAGCATTTTGAGACGTCTCAAAATTGCAGAGCAGTGTAGTGGGATGTGAGGGATACATGTGGTTCTGCCAGCAAGTCTATGAATTCGCTTTCACGAGTCATGATGATGAGGCCATTGGGATGGGCTGGACAGGAAAGACAGGAAGTCAGTCAGGAGGAAGTGGCAGAGAGAGTTTAGACTTGGGAGAGGAATTGGGAAAGATAGACGAGTGTGGGAGGCAGTAATCCATGTAGGACAAGAGGCTTACATGAGACAGTGGGTGTGCGAGGTGACTTTTGAGTCGACTCAAAAGTCACCTTAGGACAAGAGGCTGACATGAGACAGTGGGTGTGCGAGAGAAGGGCCTTCGAATATTCTCAACACCAACACGGCATGTAGGATGGTTCACATGAGATGATGGGGGCGCATGTGAGCATAGTGAGTGCAGCACCAGTGTTGGAAATGTGGGAGTGGGAGGGAGTCGAGCAAACGAGAAGAGGGACAACTGTGGGGGAATGGCAGCACAAGGGACTAGAGGCAAGTTTGGGGCAAGAGACTAAGAGGCAAGAGGCAAGGGACAGGAGAATAGAGGCTTACATGTGAGGATGGGGGCGCATGAGAGCATGGTGAGTGTGACTGCGGGGTTGTGGAGGTGGGAGTGGAAGGGCGTGGAGTGGCAAGGCATCAGAAACAACACCTCCACTCTCCCCTCCCTCACTCCTTCCCCCCCTTCATTTCCTCCCCCCTCCCCCTCAATTCCTCCTCCCCTCCCCACGTCCCTTGATGGTGTTGAGTGGGTCTGCAGAATCCCGTTGATCTCGCCCTCTAAGAAGGGCATGACAGAAATGGTGCCTCGCTGGTGGGTGGTGGAGAGGTAGAGAGCGGCCAGGAGCTGGGGGAGGAAGGCTGCTGTGAGGAGTAGGCGGAACAGGGGCGATTGTGGGTGGAGGAAGGGGGACAGGAAGGCGCGCCATGATTGATCTGCTGGGCCGGAACGAGATGATGTGGATCTTTGGGACGGGTTGGGTAATTGAGATGGTTCGGGCGGTTTCAAGGAGTTAGATGCTTGATGGAGCGGAGGCGATTGGCCGGGTGTGTGAGGCTTGGTGTTGCTGGTGTTGCAGTTGTTACAGGTGGTGGCGAGTCTTGAATGCTCTCTCTCCCTCTCCTCATTCAGGAGAGAGAGGGCGAGAGCAGCGTATGTGTTGAGGAGAGGGAGCGAGAGCAGGATGAAGCTGCGGGGAAGGGGGATGTGGGGAGGGTGACAAGGGTGGAGCAGGAGGGGATTGCCGGGAGGGGATACAAGGTATGCATAGAGATTGACATCAGAAGTTTTTGCTACATTGAGAAAGAGTTGTGACAACACCGGGGACGAAGGAAAAGAGCCAGGGTACGAGCAATAGTAGCACTTGTGTGTTTGAAATTGATTGCGGAATCGGAAGCGCTTTGCAACTCCCTCTCCTAGCATCTCCATGAGAGGCGTTTGTCTTTTGAGTCGACTCAAAAGTCACCGCAACTCCCTTTCCTACCATCTCCACGAGAGGTGTTTGTCCATACTGATTCACAAGTCCCCTCAGTACAACTCAGATCAGCCAAGAGCTGAGTTGACCAATTTCTCTCTACTCTTGCCAATCCTCGTTTCTTCACTACTCCCACTCACACACACCAGTGGTCCTCCTACCACTCCTACTCACTCACTTAATCACACACTCACTCACCGGTGCTCCTTGTGATCCGAGAGGGAGTAGAAGAGAGGCAGCCAGAGGGCCAGCAGGAAGGGCAGGCGCACCGACCACCACACCAGACCCTGCTGCAGGTGCTGCAGCAGATGGTGAAGATGGTGAAGATGCGTATAACGAGGTGGGGAGTCAGAGGGCGCGGAAGGGTGGAAGGAGCACCAGAGGAGGCCAAGGCAGGCGAGGGGGAAGAAAGTGCCGTGCATGGCTATGAGGCCCTGGGGGATGAGGCGGGGTGCAGAAGGGTGTAAATGGGTATAGAGAGATCCAGGTGAGAAAATAATGACAAGGTTGAAATGCATGTGAGTGCGGAGTAGATGCCGTTCATTGCCATGATGGGGGATGAGGAGGGTGAGGGATGAGGAGGGTGGGGGATGAGGAGGGTGGGGGATGAGGAGGGTGGGGGAAAGAGAAAGGAGGGGATGAGGAGGGGAGCAGAAGGGTGTAAAATGGTTCTATAAGGATCCAGAGAAAGAGCGAGGATGAACACACGTGAGGGGGAGGGATGAAAGTGTGCCTTGCATGGCTGTGAGGAGTGCCTGGGGAGAAGGATAGGATAGACAGGGGCTAGGAGGGTAGCAGACGTGAGCAAAGGGGCGCAGGGGTGCAACAGGATATGAGAATCCCCAGGTTGAAAGCATGCGAGGGGAGGGAAGGAAAGAAGGTGTGTTATGCATGGCTATTCGGCCACTGCGGGTCTGCCCATGCGCTCGTCTCTTACACACATGCATACACACACTCCCCTACCTGCGACCAGTACCACTCCTGCCCAAATACACGCACACTCCTGCCTGCGACCAGTATCAATACTGCCCAGCCCAGATGCGCACACACACACCCACACTCCTACCTGCGACCAGTACCAGTGCCAGGGGTTGCTGCCGTACAGACTGGAGCCCTTGAGATGCACGTTGAAGCGGAGAAGGTTCAGGGGGGTGAACACCATTGGCTGGCCGTACTGCCAGCTGTCCACAGCCACTGTGATCGCGACAGCTATCAGGCTGGCGACAGGGACCCGGAAGTGAGGGAGAGAGGGAAGCGGCGTTGTGGGGGGGGTGCGGTTGTGCAGGGGATTGGGGGGAGTTGGGCGGGGATGGGTTGAGTTGGCACTCGCAAGGGGCGTTACACACTTTCAAAGGAGCATGGCTCACCCGATAGGCAGCACTTCTAGCCCTAACAGCAGCACCCACTCCCACCTGCCCCTGCCCCTGCTGATTTCCTCTCCCTTGAGCGGCCCTTCCAGCAGCAGCAGCGCGAGCTTGTGCAGAACCAGAGGCAACCAGAAGGGCGTGCAGGAGAGCCGAATCACAGACACTTGACAGAGACCCAGAGCGGCACAGTCACAGGGGAAAAGTGTATGTTTTTTTAGAGTTCTCACATACACGGCAAATCACAGACACTTGAGAGAGACCCAGAGCGGCACAGTCACAGACACTTGAGAGAGACCCAGAGCGGCACAGTCACAGACACTTGAGAGAGACCCAGAGCGGCACAGTCACAGACACTTGAGAGAGACCCAGAGCGGCACAGTCACAGACACTTGAGAGAGACCCAGAGCGGCACAGTCACAGACACTTGAGAGAGACCCAGAGCGGCACAGTCACAGACACTTGAGAGAGACCCAGAGCGGCACAGTCACAGACACTTGAGAGAGACCCAGAGCGGCACAGTCACAGACACTTGAGAGAGACCCAGAGCGGCACAGTCACAGACACTTGAGAGAGACCCAGAGCGGCACAGTCACAGACACTTGAGAGAGACCCAGAGCGGCACAGTCACAGACACTTGAGAGAGACCCAGAGCGGCACAGTCACAAGGGAAAAGCATCCACAAAGTTGACTTTTGAGTCGACTCAAAAGTCAAGAAGGGCGTGCAGGAGAGGCGAATCACAGACACTGGACAGAGACCCAGAGCGAGTTTTGAGACATCTCAAGACTCGATTACAGACACTTGACACAGACCCGGAGCGGCACAGTCACAGGGGCATCCTTACCCGATAGGCAGCACTTCTAGCCCCAGCAACCGCACCCACTCCCATCTGCCCCTGCTGCTGCCCTTCAGCGCCCCTTCCAGCAGCAGCAGCAGCGAGAGCTCGTGCAGACCCAGGGGTGCAACCAGAAGGGCGTGCAGGTGGGGCGAACCAAACCATACACACACATGCCATGACTAACACGCCCAGAGGTGCGATTTCACTTGACAGGAGCAAGAATTTACCAAGGCTCACCCGATAGGGCGTGCTGGTGGGGCGTGCTGGTGGGACGAACCCCTTTAGGCAACCATACTCACACAGATTATTCACCAGCGCTCACCCGATAGGCAGCACTTCTAGGAGCAGCAGCCGCACCCGCTCCCATCTGCCCCTGCTGCTGTCCCTCCCTCCCTTCAACGTCCCCTCCAGCAGCAGCAGAGCAAGCTCGTGCAGACCCAGGGGCAGCCAGAAGGGAGTGCTGGTGGGACGAACCATGCACGCTGCTGCTGCCAAGGCGAGGGCCAGTGGCCGGTTGGCTCCCCCAAGATCAGTGACCAGAGCGGTTGCAGACAATTGCACTCCTCCTCTCCCTTGCTCAGCACCTCTCCCTTTGGCGGCCTCAGTGCGCCCCTGTGTCCCCTCACCCGTGTCCTGCGCGCCCTCAGTGTCCCCCTGGCAGTGGCGCCAGGGCCAGTAGGAGAGGGCGATGACAGCGAGGGAGGCCTCGAGGGAGTTGGAGAAGGTGCGTGTTGCGCAGAAGAGGAGGAACCCGCAGGTGAGATTGCAGAGAAGCTGGGGGGGGGGAGCAAGCAGGGGAGGGGAAAGAGAGAGAATTATTTGGAGAAGGTGCGTGTTGCACAGAAAACGAGGATCCAGCACGTGAGATTGCAGGCGAGCTGACGGGGGGACGAGGAGAGGGGCGAGGGGAGGAGGGTGAGAAGGGGTGGGGGTGCATGTGGGAAAAGAAAGCATCAGTTGGAGAAGGTGCGTGTGGATCAGAAGAGGAGGAACCAGCAGGCCAGGTTGCAGGCGAGCTGACGGGGGGAGGAGGGGACAGACGAGAGGGGTGGACGGGTGAGAAGGGGTGAGGGGTGCATGTGGGAAGGGGAAAGAGAGCATCGTGATTGAAGAAGGGTTTTGAGACATCTCAAAACCCTTCTTCAATCGAGAGGGGTGGACGGGTGAGAAGGGGTGAGGGGTGCATGTGGGAAAAGAAAGCATCAGTTGGAACTTGGAGAAGGTGCGCGTGGATCAGAAGAAGAGGAACCGGGTTGCAGGCGACTTGTGGAGGAAAACAAAGGGGAGAAGGGGCGAGGTAAGGGGCAAATGTGGTAAGCTGGAGCCCTTTGAGTCGACTCAAAAGTCAAAGGGGAGAGGGGGCGAGGTAAGGGGCAAATGTGGTAAGCTGGAGCCGTCGGTTGGAGAAGGTGTGTGTGGCACAAAAAGAAGAGGAACTGGCAGGCTAAATTTGCAAAGGAGCTGTAGGGGGGCAGAGGGACAAGAAGAGCAGGAGAGAGGGGGTGCAAAGCAGCAGCAATATCCCCCCCTCCCAATCACTTCAGTTCAGTAGACATGATCCCAATCGTTCTCGCCTGAGAGCTCCTGGGGGCCCAGCGACGCCGGTCATGGGAACAAGCAAGTCTACCAAGCGGAAACACGTCACTCGCATCGCATCTATTCTCCAAACAATCACCTGCACTGGAACAACAAGGCAGTCGTACGTATGGAGATGTGGGGGTTGGTTGTAGGGCGGGATTCAGTGGACTTGCACTCCAAGTCAACATGGAGAAAACGTTGCAGCCAGGAGAATGGGTGGGTGGGAAAGTGGACCTTCTCCACTCCCTCAACCCACTGAATCCCGCCCTGCAACCCCCACGCCTCAACATGTACGACTGCCCTTGTTGTTCCAGTGCAGGTGATCGTTGTGGATGCCAGCAACGAGTTTCCACTTGGTAGCTCTCACATGACCGGCGTCGTTTGGCACTGTAGGGCGAGAACGACAAAGATCTTGTCCACTGAAATGTCGGGGGAAATAGTTTTGCTGCTGCTACTGCTGGAGAAAGGGAGTATCGGATGGAGAAGGTGCGTGAGGCGCAGAAGAGGAGAAGCCAGCGTATCTTTTAGGCACCTCGAAAATAGGTGCGCGTGGTGCAGAAGAGGAGAAACCAGCAGTTCAGGTTGCAGGCGAGAGAGGGAGGGAGCGGGGGAGGGGTGGAGAAAAAGGGGCGCATGTAATGGAGAAGGTGGGGTGGGGCTGAGGAGGAGGAAGCAGACGCATAGCTTGCAGGTTTCAACTCACCGCGCATGCAGCGGCAGAGGGGTGCATGTGGGGAAAGAGAGCATTGAATGGAGGAGGTGGGCTTAGGGATGCAGAGGAGGAACCAGCAGCACAGCTTCTAGGTTTCAGCTCACCACGCATGCAGCACAGCTTGTAGGTTTCAGCTCACCACGCATGCAGCACAGCTTGTAGGTTTCAGCTCACCACGCATGCAGCACAGCTTGTAGGTTTCAGCTCACCACGCATGCAGTGGCAGAGAGGTGGACGGGAAAGAGCCAGTGAGTGAGCGTGTAATGACGCAGATCCCCCAGTGCTGCTAGCTATGGCGGCCTACATTGTTGCACCTCGAGGAGTGGCGTTATGATGAGATGAGACACCTCTCAGGCCTCAACTCACCGCCCATGCAGCAGCGGAGGGGTGCGAAGGGAAGAGCCTTTGAGTGAGGGCGTAGAGACGCAGATCCGCCAGTGCTGCCATGGCTGCCTGCATGAATCGCGGCGAGTGGCGCTGGAGGGGGAGAGGAGAAACACGAGGAGCAAAGGGGAACAACCTGTGAGTGAGCGCATAGAGACGCACATCCGCCAGTGTTGCCATGGCTGCCTGCATGAACCGCGGCGAGTGGCGCTGGAAGGGGAGAGGAGAGACGCGAGGGGCAAAGGGGAACAACCTGTGAGTGAGCGCATAGAGACGCACATCCGCCAGTGCTGCCATGGCTGCCTGCATGAACCGCGGCGAGTGGCGCTGGAGGGGAGGGGAGAGACGCGAGGGGCAAAGGGGAACAACCTGTGAGTGAGCGCATAGAGACGCACATCCGCCAGTGCTGCCATGGCTGCCTGCATGAACCGCGGCGAGTGGCGCTGGAGGGGAGGGGAGAGACGCGAGGGGCAAAGGGGAACAACCTGTGAGTGAGCGCATAGAGACGCACATCCGCCAGTGCTGCCATGGCTGCCTGCATGAACCGCGGCGAGTGGCGCTGGAGGGGAGGGGAGAGACGCGAGGGGCAAAGGGGAACAACCTGTGAGTGAGCGCATAGAGACGCACATCCGCCAGTGCTGCCATGGCTGCCTGCATGAACCGCAGCGAGTGGCGCTGGAGGGGAGGGGAGAGACGCGAGGGGCAAAGGGGAACAACCTGTGAGTGAGCGCATAGAGACGCACATCCGCCAGTGCTGCCATGGCTGCCTGCATGAACCGCGGCGAGTGGCGCTGGAGGGGAGGGGAGAGACGCGAGGGGCAAAGGGGAACAACCTGTGAGTGAGCGCATAGAGACGCACATCCGCCAGTGCTGCCATGGCTGCCTGCATGAACCGCGGCGAGTGGCGCTGGAGGGGAGGGGAGAGACGCGAGGGGCAAAGGGGAACAACCTGTGAGTGAGCGCAGAGACGCACATCCGCCAGTGCTGCCATGGCTGCCTGCATGAACCGCGGCGAGTGGCGCTGGAAGGGGAGAGGAGAGACGCGAGGGGCAAAGGGGAACAACCTGTGAGTGAGCGCATAGAGACGCACATCCGCCAGTGCTGCCATGGCTGCCTGCATGAACCGCAGCGAGTGGCGCTGGAGGGGAGGGGAGAGACGCGAGGGGCAAAGGGGAACAACCTGTGAGTGAGCGCATAGAGACGCACATCCGCCAGTGCTGCCATGGCTGCCTGCATGAACCGCGGCGAGTGGCGCTGGAGGGGAGGGGAGAGACGCGAGGGGCAAAGGGGAACAACCTGTGAGTGAGCGCATAGAGACGCACATCCGCCAGTGCTGCCATGGCTGCCTGCATGAACCGCGGCGAGTGGCGCTGGAGGGGAGGGGAGAGACGCGAGGGGCAAAGGGGAACAACCTGTGAGTGAGCGCATAGAGACGCACATCCGCCAGTGCTGCCATGGCTGCCTGCATGAACCGCGGCGAGTGGCGCTGGAAGGGGAGAGGAGAGACGCGAGGGGCAAAGGGGAACAACCTGTGAGTGAGCGCATAGAGACGCACATCCGCCAGTGCTGCCATGGCTGCCTGCATGAACCGCAGCGAGTGGCGCTGGAGGGGAGGGGAGAGACGCGAGGGGCAAAGGGGAACAACCTGTGAGTGAGCGCATAGAGACGCACATCCGCCAGTGCTGCCATGGCTGCCTGCATGAACCGCGGCGAGTGGCGCTGGAGGGGAGGGGAGAGACGCGAGGGGCAAAGGGGAACAACCTGTGAGTGAGCGCATAGAGACGCACATCCGCCAGTGCTGCCATGGCTGCCTGCATGAACCGCGGCGAGTGGCGCTGGAGGGGAGGGGAGAGACGCGAGGGGCAAAGGGGAACAACCTGTGAGTGAGCGCATAGAGACGCACATCCGCCAGTGCTGCCATGGCTGCCTGCATGAACCGCGGCGAGTGGCGCTGGAGGGGAGGGGAGAGACGCGAGGGGCAAAGGGGAACAACCTGTGAGTGAGCGCAGAGACGCACATCCGCCAGTGCTGCCATGGCTGCCTGCATGAACCGCGGCGAGTGGCGCTGGAAGGGGAGAGGAGAGACGCGAGGGGCAAAGGGGAACAACCTGTGAGTGAGCGCATAGAGACGCACATCCGCCAGTGCTGCCATGGCTGCCTGCATGAACCGCAGCGAGTGGCGCTGGAGGGGAGGGGAGAGACGCGAGGGGCAAAGGGGAACAACCTGTGAGTGAGCGCATAGAGACGCACATCCGCCAGTGCTGCCATGGCTGCCTGCATGAACCGCGGCGAGTGGCGCTGGAGGGGAGGGGAGAGACGCGAGGGGCAAAGGGGAACAACCTGTGAGTGAGCGCATAGAGACGCACATCCGCCAGTGCTGCCATGGCTGCCTGCATGAACCGCGGCGAGTGGCGCTGGAGGGGAGGGGAGAGACGCGAGGGGCAAAGGGGAACAACCTGTGAGTGAGCGCATAGAGACGCACATCCGCCAGTGCTGCCATGGCTGCCTGCATGAACCGCGGCGAGTGGCGCTGGAAGGGGAGAGGAGAGACGCGAGGGGCAAAGGGGAACAACCTGTGAGTGAGCGCATAGAGACGCACATCCGCCAGTGCTGCCATGGCTGCCTGCATGAACCGCAGCGAGTGGCGCTGGAGGGGAGGGGAGAGACGCGAGGGGCAAAGGGGAACAACCTGTGAGTGAGCGCATAGAGACGCACATCCGCCAGTGCTGCCATGGCTGCCTGCATGAACCGCGGCGAGTGGCGCTGGAGGGGAGGGGAGAGACGCGAGGGGCAAAGGGGAACAACCTGTGAGTGAGCGCATAGAGACGCACATCCGCCAGTGCTGCCATGGCTGCCTGCATGAACCGCGGCGAGTGGCGCTGGAGGGGAGGGGAGAGACGCGAGGGGCAAAGGGGAACAACCTGTGAGTGAGCACATAGAGACGCACATCCGCCAGTGCTGCCATGGCTGCCTGCATGAACCGCAGCGAGTGGCGCTGGAGGGGAGGGGAGAGACGCGAGGGGCAAAGGGGAACAACCTGTGAGTGAGCGCATAGAGACGCACATCCGCCAGTGCTGCCATGGCTGCCTGCATGAACCGCAGCGAGTGGCGCTGGAGGGGAGGGGAGAGACGCGAGGGGCAAAGGGGAACAACCTGTGAGTGAGCGCATAGAGACGCACATCCGCCAGTGTTGCCATGGCTGCCTGCATGAACTGCAGCGAGTGGCGCTGGAGGGGAGGGGAGAGACGCGAGGGGCAAAGGGGAACAACCTGTGAGTGAGCGCATAGAGACGCACATCCGCCAGTGCTGCCATGGCTGCCTGCATGAACCGCAGCGAGTGGCGCTGGAAGGGGAGAGGAGAGAGAGGTGATGGGATGGGACACGGAGATGGGGAGTGGAGAGGGGTGAGGGAAAGGAGTCAGGGAAGAAAGGAGAACAAGTGGATATGGAGAAGAGAGAGAGAACACAACTAGGGAGCAAGAGTCAAGCGAGAACACATGGGTTGCCTGTGAGTAAGGGAGGGAGTGTTGCACAGCACAGGTGGCAGCCAGTAGTCAGTAAGCAACTGCGACGTGTAGCGAGGTTGTTTTTGAGACGTTTCAAAAACAACCTCGCTACACGTGGTTGCCTGCGAGCCAGGGAGGGAGTGTTGCACAGGTGGCAGCCAGTAGTCAGTAAGCAACAGCGGAGAGAGACGCTGAGTGTGTAGCGCTATGTGTTTCACCGTAAGCGCCCAGATAGAATCAACACTCACAACGAGCCAGGGCGTGTCGCAGCATAAGAGGGCGAGCAGGCGGTAACCAGCGGTGAAGAGCGAAGCTCAGTACAGTGCTTGCTTCCCGTGGCTTGAACCATAACAACACTCACAACGAGCCAGGGCGTGTCGCAGCGTAAGAGGGCGAGCAGGCGGTAACCAGCAGCGAAGAGCAGCGGGTGGAGGAAGGAGCGAGCTGCCCACTCAGGCTGCCACTCCCACGTGAGATAGCCGTAGCTGAAAGGAGAGAGAGAGGCATGGGAGCGGCGCGAAGGGAATAGGAGGGGCGTAAAGGAGAGGAGGAAGGGCGTTAATGCAGAAGATGGGATGGGAAGGAGAATAGAAGGGGCGCATAGGAGAGGAGGAAGGGGCGTTTCCAGCCTTCAGGCACGTTGAAACACTTTGGGCGTTCACTTGGCGCTCGAAAGAACTTCCAGGCCCACTTTCATGGCAGATCAGTAGACGTATGCAGGTGGTGGCAGGAGAGGTTGGGGGAAGCGAGGCTGTTGAGGAATGGAAGAGAGGAAGCGAGAATGACGGGAGCAACCAGGGACATCCCTCTGCCTGATGACACACTGGGGTAATAGACGAAATGCCTCCTTCCTTAGACACTGCAACAGTAAACGATATAATTTCTTGAACAGTAAAACACCTTACTGACAACAAGCATGCTATTCGAAGCACTTTTGCTCTTATAAGTGCAATGATTCCTGGATAACTCCTTCACCCAAACGCTAGGTTGATGTGAGTTAAATACCCAATACACCTTCTTCCCTCGATCACAGCATCGACCTGGCAGTGAATCAGGATTCACCCATTGCATCTCACCCGAACACCATCTGGTGAGCCACCTCCGGTTTCTGCCAGAACTCGTCCGGGTTGAAACCAAGTCGCAGCGTCAACCCACTCATCACTAGTCGCCCTGATGCACCTACTAGAGAAACTGCATCTCACCCGAACACCATCCGGTGAGCCACCTCCGGTCCCTGCCAGAACTCGTCCGGGTTGAAATAGGTCTGCACTGCGAGACTGTTGAGTAACCTGCAGCCAGGAAGGCAGAGGAAAGGTGAGGGGGTGGGGGAGGGGGGGAGAGGGGGAAGAGAGAAGGTGGAAAGATGTTGTGCAATCTTTTCCGGCATTTTAACTTGAACGTGACTGCATTGGGGAATCCACGATGAAATTGCTTCGTCGAAGCTGCCGATTCTGCTGACCTGAACGCGAGAAGCGCGAGGAAGAGGCTTTTCGGCGGCCCAACGGTCGGCACGGTGGATTGGTGCTTCGCTGACGACTCAAAAGTCTCCTCAGCCGGCTCTGTTAATTGGTGCTTCGAACCCATCGCTGACGACGGCGCTCGCCCGACGAAGTGGAAGTCTTGAGTGGAAGGCTTAATACGTGCGACGACGGACAATGGTAAATAATCAGCCAGCCTGGCTAGGTGAGATTGTAGCGAGCGCGACGCTTCGGCCAAACTTGCTAGGCGGCATGTGCGGCAACGCGGCGCACGGGATGAGCATTTCAGGATAAATCGTACGGTCAGCGAGGTACTGCTGTTGAGGGACTCATCTGTCACCACAGACAGACAGGAATCGCATACTAGAAGAAATTATAGAATCCAGATTCTGAAAAACTGACAGGCTCGCAGCTTTCAGTAGCTGCTTGGGCGATGAAGCGAAGAGTGGGCATTCTTTGCGAAATCGGAAATACTGGAGATGCGATGCGATGTTTTATTCGCCAAGATTCGCCTATAGCTTGCAGGCTTCAGATCACTGTATTTCAGGCTTCAAATTCGCATCTTCCAACCTTGCGGCAACCCTAGGAACCATTCCCGACTCCGACTTCTCAACTTTCACTGCTCCCTCCATCCGTCATCTCCTCCCTCAGGAATTTCGGACCTAGCATTTTGAACTCCCAGAGCAAGGTAACCGTTGCCAAGGCAGTCCAGCCACATGCGTTTGAATGATCGGGACCAGGCTGCACTACCGCGTCTCCTTATAACTCGCTCAATTTTTTAGCCGAATTCCCTGATCCGTAACAGCATCACTCGCTGCGATCGCTTCGCCTCTTTCCTCCATGAGGCGACGCCAGTCTCTCTCCCTCCTCTCCGCGCATCTCCGCCGTCTACAGCAGCATAACGGCCACGTGTCGTCATCCGACGCCGCGATCGCCCTCGCATCGTCATTGCACCCCTCCTTACAGCCGTCATCAGTCGCGTCTCCTCCAGAGCCAAGTCACGAAACTGTCTCACCGTTCTTCGCGAACCGCACCGGGACTGCGGCATTCGCGAGTAACCAGACCTCGACACTCGCATCATCGCTTTCGCCAGAGCCAATTCACAATTACGTCTCGCCGTCGCAATTCACGCTCACCCAGACTTCCGAAACCCGCACTCCGTCCGCCTTACCATGGTCGCACGGAGCGTGCTCGAGATCGACGGCTGTCAGCGTTTCCTTAGTACACCAACGGTCAGATGAGACTCTCCATCCTGGCAGGGCCGGCCAATGGCTGCGAGGGCCAGCAAGAACGGGAGCTGAGCTGCTGTTGAGTCTGCGAGAGCCGTTGAAGCCGAGTCGGCCATTCCTGCTGTCTACGAGTTTCTCTACCGATGGTGGGCCATACCGTGTTCTAGTCTGCGCTTCGCCTACTCGAAGTCACCTGGAGTCACTCACAATGCATTCTTCCCATTTCAACCCTCCAAGCGTTGATGTACTTACTGTTTCCTCTCCTCCTCCCTCTTCCGGTTGCTGTTTTCAGCGTCCTCCACACCACCACCACCACCACCAGTAATGCCGGCCGAGCTAGCAGCTGTGGTGGAGAAAAGCCTCTGTGCCGTCTTGGCCCGCCACCAGCACCTGGAGGAGCTGCTCTCCCAGGTCAGCTGCTCTCCCAGGTCAGATCTGCCGTTCTCGTGCTATTCTTAGGTGTGTTGTTTTCAGCGTCCTCCTCACCACCACCACCTGTGATGCCGGCCGAGCTAGCAGCTGTGGTGGAGAGAAGCCTCTGTGCCGTCTTGGCCCGCCATCAGCACCTGGAGGAGCTGCTCTCGCAGGTCAGCTGCTCTCGCAGGTCAGCTGCTCTCCCAGGTCAGCTGCTCTCGCAGGTCAGCTGCTCTCGCAGGTCAGCTGCTCTCCCAGGTGAGCCGATTTCTTAAATAAGGTGATTTCTCAGGTGAGCCGATTTCTTAAATAAGGTGATTTCTCAGGTGAGCCGATTTCTTAGATAAGGCGATTTCTCAGGTGAGGCGATTTCAAGTTAAGCGATTTCTCAGTTAAGGCGATTTTTCAGGTGAGGCACTTCGTTCTTACTTACACTAATTTGGGGGAGGTGCCATCTGTCTGTGACGTGACCTTGTTGAAGGGAGAGAGAGGTGCCATCTGGTGTCTTGCCTTGCACCTACCAGCAGGTGGAGTTGCTCTCTTAGCTGGTCTCCTAGGTGAGGCATTATTGCTCATTGTGCTGGGTGCTGCACCGTGTGAGATGCTTGCCCAGGGTTTAAGGTTTAGGGTGCAGCTGCAGGTTAGGGTTGATAAAGGCTGCTGCTGTTTGGTGCGCTGCACTGCATTTGCTTGTTTCTCTTAGGAACAATGTTCCCTTTTCATGCCTTTTGTGCCAGCTCAGAAGAAGCTAGGCTCGTTGGCGAGGTAGCGGTTGTTCAGTGCAGTTCAATACGGTTCAACGCGTGATAATTGTTCCTCTTTCCCGCATGGGTCACTTTTCCTGCCTGTTTTCCCTGCCACCCCAGCCTGACACGTCAGCAGACGACCTGGCGAGAGCAGGCAAGGAGATGAGCGATCTGGCGCCAGCTGTCGCAATCGCACTGGAGCTGCAGAAAAAGACAAAGGTAGGCTCATGGGAATGCAGTGCAGCTAGTGGGCAAGTTCTGATTCCGCCCAACAAGCAGTAGGGGTACAATGCGTTGTGCGTATTGGATTGCGCTCATATAGTCAGCTGTGGTGTTTCAATATAAACAACGGGAGATGACACAGGTGTATGTAGAAATATTGTGATCGTAGTGCCCCTCCATATTTCCTTCACCTTCCATCCCTCCCCTTTCATCTTTCATAAACCCTCCTCTCTCACACCCATCTCGCACCTATTTCTCGACCCTCAGGAACGCGACTTGCACGCACTACGTAAGGGTCATAGACAACCTTATAACGAGGACAGAGATGATTATTCAGTCGGCTCAAAACCCGTTTCACACCTCTTTCTGAACCCTCAGGAGCTAGACGACTTGCACGCGCTACTCAAGGGACAAGGACGGCCTTGTAACGAGGACAAGGACGTTAATTCAGGGAAAAAGGGAAGTGACAGGGAGGCGGATGAGGAGGACGAGGAGTTTGAGAGCAATGGTGTGGGAGGAGATCGGGGTGTTGGGGGGGGGGAGAGGGAGGGAGGCACTGCTGCGGAGAGTCCTTTCCTCCTTTATCAATCATCCTCTTTTGCACCCACGCACCTCCCTCAACCCTCAGGAGTTACAAGACTTGCACGCGCTACTAAAGGGACAAGGGCAGCCTTATAACGAGGACAATGACACAAAGGGAGGGAAGAGAGAAGGAGGCAGGGAGGCGGATGAGGAGGACGAGGAGTTGAGAGCGATGGTGTGGGAGGAGATCGGGGTGGTGGGAGGGGAGAGGGAGGCACTGCTGCGGAGTGCAGTGAGGCGGATATTACCTAGGGACGAGGCGGACCAAAGAGGATGCATTGTGGAGGTGCGAGCAGGTGAGTGAGGTGAGATGCGAATGATGTTTGCTGGTTGGTGCGAGCGACGCCAAGCTCTAATGGAGGGGAAGAAGGAGGGAAGCACTGCTGTGGAGTGGAGTGCAGTGAGGCGGATATTACCAAGGGACGAGGCGGACCAAAGAGGATGCATTGTGGAGGTGCGAGCAGGTGAGGTGGGACGCGGATTGTGATTGCTGGTTGTTGATTGCTGCTAGCTACGCCAAGCTCTAGGGGGTGGGCGGGGAGAGCGAGGAGGCTCTGCTGCGAAATGCAGTGAGGCAGATACTGACAAAGGATGAGGCGGATACTGACAAAGGATGAGGCGGATACTGACAAAGGATGAGGCGGATACTGACAAAGGATGAGGCGGATACTGACAAAGGATGAGGCGGATACTGACAAAGGATGAGGCGGATACTGACAAAGGATGAGGCGGATACTGACAAAGGATGAGGCGGATACTGACAAAGGATGAGGCGGATACTGACAAAGGATGAGGCGGATACTGACAAAGGATGAGGCGGATACTGACAAAGGATGAGGCGGATACTGACAAAGGATGAGGCGGATACTGACAAAGGATGAGGCGGATACTGACAAAGGATGAGGCGGATACTGACAAAGGATGAGGCGGATACTAACAAAGGATGAGGCGGATACTAACAAAGGATGAGGCGGATACTGAGAAAGGATGAGGCAGACAGCAGAGGATGCATTGTGGAAGTCAGGGCAGGTAAGGTGAGATGAGACGCGGATGGGATGATATCGATTAATTCAGAGACACAATACATGAGAGGCACGACACATGAGAGACACGACACATGAGAGACACGACACATGAGAGACACGACACATGAGAGACACGACACATGAGAGACACGACACATGAGAGACCCCACCTCCGACTTGCTCTTGGTTGTTCGTTGTACTCGCACCACCCGTTGCCTTTTTGAGGCGCCTCAAAAGTTGTACTCGCACCACCCGTTGCCTTTTCGTATCCGTTCGTTTAGGGTTCTTGATTGATTCTCCCCTTGCACCACCTCTGACATGCTCCTGGTCGTTTAGGGTTCCGAGCTTCCCCTCCCCCCAACTCTCCCTCCTCCCCTTCGCCTTCTCGCCCCTTTTCCCCCCCATTCATCGCCACTCAACCCATGCGTGTGTGCAAGCACAGGAGGCGACGAGGCAGCCCTATTTGAGACGACTCAAAACCCGCCCCTCCCCTTCTCGCCCCCCTATCCGCCCATTCATCGCCACTCAACCCATGCGTGTGTGCAAGCACAGGAGGCGACGAGGCAGCCCTATTTGAGACGACTCAAAACCCGCCCCTCCCCTTCTCGCCCCCCTATCCGCCCATTCATCGCCACTCAACCCATGCGTGTGTGCAAGCACAGGAGGCGACGAGGCAGCCCTATTTGAGACGACTCAAAACCCGCCCCTCCCCTTCTCGCCCCCCTATCCGCCCATTCATCGCCACTCAACCCATGCGTGTGTGCAAGCACAGGAGGCGACGAGGCAGCCCTATTTGAGACGACTCAAAACCCGCCCCTCCCCTTCTCGCCCCCCTATCCGCCCATTCATCGCCACTCAACCCATGCGTGTGTGCAAGCACAGGAGGCGACGAGGCAGCCCTATTTGCGTCGACTCAATACCTGCCCCTCCTCCCCTCTCCTCCTCTCGCCCTCCCTCCCCCATTCATCGCCACTCAACCCATGTGTGTGCAGGCACAGGAGGCGACGAGGCAGCCCTGTTTGCAGCTGACGTGTTCCAAATGTAAGTGAGCTGGTCGCTGGTCGCTGGATCATGATGAGGGTAGATATGATTTGATTCTATCATGATGGCATGTGCTGAGAGCAAGCGTTTGTGATGAAGGGTAGATATGATTTGATATTGATGGCATGCGCTAATTTGATGAGTATGATGGTGAACATTGATTGGACGTTGGTTGGTAGTGCCGCCGGCCCGAATCTTTGAATCTTGATTTTAGAGCCGACAAAGCCTGTGGTGACGCAATATGCTGTATCGGGTTTAGAGCCAACTGTTTTGATCTGCTGTATCGGGTCTGACTGTGAATGTGATGGGATGGGATGGGATGTGATGGTGGTGGTTGCAATTTGGTGTGGGGGGGTGCAATGCGGTGGGACGTTTTGTGGCATGGTTTTCATGGCAGGTACCAGCGCTTCTGCGCTAAGCGGGGGTGGCAGTTTGAGGTTCTAGACGTCACAGAGATTGAGAAGGGCGGATACAAGGTGAGGGCTGGGGTGATAGTAGGTGCGAGTTGGGGTGATAGTAGGTGCGAGTTGGGGTGATGGTAGATGCGAGTTGGGGTGATAGTAGGTGCGTCATAGGGAGGCAAGCTGGGAGAAGGGTGGGTATTGGGTGCGATGGAGTGAGAAGGGTAGGAACAAGGGAGAGAGGAAATCAGAAAGAGGGGGTTTCTATCAAGGGAGAGGCCAAGGAGATGTTTCTGCCACTAAAAGCTGTACCAATGACCTGTGGTGCTTCCTACTCATCGGCCCTTCCCCTCTCTCCTCCACCATCCCCACTCTCCTCTCCCCCCACTCCTCGACTCTTTCCCCTCACCTCCTCTCTCATGTATCTCCCATCAATCGAATCATGGTCACCCAACGTTTCGTCGGGGGACTCGTCACCCCACTGCTCCAACCCTTCCCCCTCCTGTGTCTTGCCTCCCACAGGAAGCGAGTGCGAGTGTGTCAGGGGACGGGGTGCTCGGGTGGCTCAAGTGGGAGAGTGGCGTTCACAGGGTGTTGAGGGTACTGACGACAACAGAGAAGGCGGGCAGGGGAGCAGAGTGCATACGAGCAGTCTCATGTTCACGGGGCATCAGCATGAGACTGCTCACCATGAGACTGCTCTACTGCTCCCCTTCATCACCATTTCTCATCTCCTCACCCCACTGCTTCCTCCCTCCCATCTCCCATCGCCACCCCCCACGACCCTTTCCCCCTCCCGTGTCTTGCCTCCCACAGGAAGCGAGTGCGAGTGTGTCAGGGGAAGGGGTGTTTGGGAGCCTCAAGTGGGAAAGTGGCGTGCACAGGGTGCAGCGAGTACCGGCCACTGAGAAATCGGGCAGGGTGCACACGAGTGCTGCTACCGTGGCTGTGCTGCCCCAAGCTGACGAGGTGAGCAGTGCGGAACGGTGTAGAGGGGTGCAGAGGGTGCACAGGGAGCACAGGGTGCAGAGGGTACCAGCCACAGAGAAGGCAGGCATGGTGCACACCAGTGCTGCTACTGTGGCTGTGCTGCCCCAAGCCGACGAGGTGAGTGGTGCAGAGGGGTACAGAACTGGTGCAGTGCAGAGCGGGTGGGCGTGTTTGGGAGCCTCAGTGGGAGAGTGGCGGCATACAGGGTGCAGAGGGTACCGGCCACAGAGAAGGCAGGCAGGGTGCACACGAGCATGCTTGTGGGGTTTTGTTGTGCAGGTGGAGGAGCTGAATTGCTAATCCGGCAGGATGATCTGCGCATCGACGTGTATCATAGTGGGGGATGTGGAGAGCAGTCGGTGAACCGCCCTTGAGGATGTGAAACCCAGCTTTATCAGTCCATGCATGCATGCGCTTTCTTCCCCTACAGGCGGACGTGCTAATCCGGCAGGATGATCTGCGCAGCGCATCGACGTGTATTGCAGTGGCGGATGTGGAGAGAGGGCAACTTTGGTTGAGATGTCTCAAAGCCGAGCTGTATTGGTCCGTGCGCACGTGTGTGTTGCCCCTTGCAGGAGGAAGTGCTAATCCGCCAGGAGGATCTGCGTGTCGACACGTATCGCAGCGGCGGGTGTGGGTGGAGGGCAGTCGGTGAACCGTGATAGAGGCATTCTAATCCTGGTTGTCTTTGTGCATGCATATGCATGTGCATGTGCATGCGTGCGTACGTGCAATTTTCCCCCGATACAGGTGGATGTGTCGATCCGGCAGGAGGATCTGCGCATTGACACGTACCGCAGCGGCGGGTGTGGAGGGCAGTCGGTGAACCATCCTTGAGGCTTTTCTAACACGGTTATATTGGTGTGTGCATGCATTCATGTGGGCTCTTCTGTGCAGGTGGACGTGCTAATCCGCCAGGAGGATCTGCGTATCGACACGTACCGCAGCGGCGGGTGTGGAGGGCAGTCGGTGAACACGACCAACAGTGCCGTGCGCATCACCCACTTGCCCTCGGGGCTTGTCGTGGCTATACAGGACGAACGCTCTCAGCACATGGTGAGGTGAAGAGAAGAGTGGAGAGGTGGGGAGAGGTGGGGGAGGTTGGGAGAGGTTGGGAGAGGTTGGGAGAGGTATCACCAGCTGGGCAAGACAGCAGCAGGTGAAATGAAGAAAGTAGCGCTAGGGGAGGAGATGAGAGGAGGAGCAAAGAGGAGAGGGGATGAGAGGAGGAGCAAAGAGGAGAGGGGATGAGAGGAGCACTTGCTCCCACGCTTCTGACCCTCTCGAAGGGCCATTGTTCCTTCTGTCCCATTCCCTATCCCCCATCTCTTCCTCAGAAAAGCCCCGCACAATTGAACTGATTTTTGAGTTCACTGAAAATCGACCCTTCTGTCCCATTCCTTATCCCCCATCTCTTCTTCAGAAAACTCCGCACAATTGAGTTTGACTAAAGCCTTTACCTCTGTCCCTCTCATTATCCCCGCGGCTCCCCTCCTTGGCGCCTGCCCTCGCCCCCAAAACTTCTTTACTCCGCAGAACAAGGCCAAGGCGCTCAAGGTGCTGCGAGCACGGCTGTTTGACCTGCAGAGGAAGCAGGCCGAGGCGTCGCGGTCTCAGCTCAGACATGGGCAGGTGAGGGGTGGGCAGGTGAGGGGTGGGCAAGTGGGGGGTGGGCAAGTGGGGGGTGGGCAAGTGGGGGGTGGGCAAGTGGGGGTGATGGGCATGTATTCTGTGTCCTGGATCCAGATCTGTTCTGGCAAGTCAAATCATCTTGTCTGGGTCTGGGTTTCACCCTGCTTTCGCGATCCTTCATTCCTCTCTCTCATCCTCCCTCCCTCCCTCTCATCCTCGCTCCCTCCCTCTCATCCTCGCTCCCTCCCTCTCATCCTCGCTCCCTCCCTCTCATCCTCGCTCCCTCCTGTCGACCCATTGTTTTTCCAGATCGGCTCTGGCGATCGCTCGGAGCGAATCCGCACGTACAACTTCCCGCAGGGCCGAATCACGGACCACCGCGTGGGCCTCACCCTGCACTCGCTGCCGCAGGTGTGAATTGGTCGCAAGCGGGTGTAGGCATGTCATATCGATGCATGCTTGATGTGCTCTGTGCTCTGTGCACTGAGCACTGAGCTTTCTAGCTCTCTAGATTTCTAGCTCTCTAGCTCTGCATTCGCACGTACAACTTCCCGCAGGGCAGAATCACGGACCACCGCATGGGGGTCACCCTGCACTCGCTGCCACAGGTGAGTGCTGCATCCAATAGTAGTTCCAAGTGTGTGGGTCTGTGGCACCTGGTATTAGTACATGTATTTATTCTGTGAGTGTGTGCCTATGCTCATGTCATGGTCATGCTCATGCCCATGCTCATGCCCATGCTCATGCCCATGCCCATGCCCATGCCCATGCTCATGCTCATGCTCATGCTCATGCTCATGCTCATGCTCATGCCCATGCCCATGCCCATGCCCATGCCCATGCCCATGCCCATGCCCATGCTCATGCTCATGCTCGTATTCATATTCATACTTTAAAAAGGCCGGCAAAGGCTGCAGTGGAGACCGAGGGCATGGAGGTGATCACAGAGGGGACTGGAAGCAGATCCTCGGACATTTTTCAATAAGCAGCGGTGCTTAGGTTCAGGCTTGAGCAAGTAGGTGTCTTTTGAGTCGACTCAAAAGTCATTTTCCGATAAGCAGCGGTGCTTAGGTTCAGGCTTGAGCAAGTAGGAACCGCTGCTCACTGGAAAATGTCCGAGAGGTTGCAGTGGAGACTGAGGGCACGGAGGTGATCGCAGAGGGGACTGGAAGCACCAGCAACGGAGACCCTGCTTTTCTCTGCTCGCAGTGGAACCAAGAGTGAAATAAACACCTCCAAGACCCTCCTCGTCGTTCCTCTGTTCCCTCCTCTGTTCTCTACTCTACTGTTTGGCACCACAGGGCCACAGAGCGAGTTTTGAGACGTCTCAAAACAGCACCACAGGGCTACAGGGCGAGGGGTCTGGAGGCGTTAATAGAAAGGCGCTGGAGAGAGCAGCAGAGAAGGGCCTTCCACCCCCGCTCCCTCCCTCCCTTCCTCACCTCCCTCTTCACCTCGTCCCTCCGCCCTTCCCCCCTCCCCTCCTCAACAGGTGTTGCAAGGGGAGGGCTTGTAAGCGTTTTTCGAGGCACTGGAGGCAGCAGCAGAGACAGCACCCCCTCACCCCCCCTGCCTTGATTCTGCTCCACCTCCCTCTGCCCCTCTTTGACCCCCCAGGTGCTGCTAGGGGAGGGCTTGTAAGCGTTTTCCAAGGCACCGGAGGCAGCAGCAGAGAAGGCGCTGTCCCATTTCCTCCCTCTCTCCCTTACATTCCTCTTCCCCTCGTCCCTCCGCCTTTTCCTCTCCCTCCGCCCTTCCCCCCCCTCCCCCCCGCAACAGGTGCTCCAAGGGGAGGGCCTGGAGGCGTTTATAGAGGCGCTGGAGGCAGCAGCAGAGAAGGAGGCGATAGATGGCCTGGCCAAGGCAGGGTAGGTGCCAGGGCCTATTTTTGGATTTTAGGTACTCTGATTTCCAGAGTAGTTTTTTTCCCAACTCTGAAATCTAGGGTTGTTCCTGCGCCTTACTCTGATTTGTCAGAGTAACCCTATACTTTCAAAAAAAAACCCAGGCACGTCAGAGTAATATTTTTCTCTACTCTGATGTTAGTTAAGTTTGGTGTACCATGACCTTAATAGGTTTTTGTTACGCCTTTTGTACTTGCATTTCCGCGTCGCCCACGTTTCCCCCCTCACTGCGATGTTCCAGAGTGAGGTGTTGGCGGCACCGATAATCTGACTAAGGGCGTGTTCCTACGGCCCCTTATCAGGGCAACCCCTTATCAAGCTCGCTACTTTTCCCCCTGAAAATTTCCTAAACCCAAAAACCCTCGCTACTTTTACCAGGCAAGGCTGACAAGAGGTTTGCCTGATAAGAGCGTAGGAACACGCCCTAAGGGCGTGTCCGAAGTGAAACGTCAATAGATGTCGCTGGATGTCGGTAAATGTCATCCCTCGGATCGACAGTTCCAACCGTCAGGATTTACCGACATCCCCAAACGGATGTCCACGGATGTCGACGTTTCACTTCGGACACCCCCAAAGAGCGTGTCTGAAGTGAAATGTCGACGGATGTACAGTTTCGTCGGGGAATGCTGGCGAATCTCAACCCTCGGATTGAGCGTTCCGACCGTCATGATTCCTCGACGTCCCTCAAAGTTTCGTCGGGAAACGTCGACGTTCACTTCAGACATAAAGAGAGAGGGGACTGGCTGGCATCGTGCGCTGGTTGGGAAAGTTGTCAAACTACGGTAGCCAATCAGTGCTCATATTGCCGCCAACACACGACAGAAATCAGGAGAATGATCTCGACGATTCGGGGAAAACCCGCTAAACGCAGGGGGAGGTGGGGAGGGGAGGGGGGCGGGGGAGGGGGGGCCGGCAGGTATTCCCTATACAGAGTAAATTCGGTCCCCGAAAAAAAAACCCAGAGGCCTCAGAGTAAACTACAGCATAACTCTGACAAATCAGAGAAATCGGAAGTCCCAAAAAAATTACCCAGCGGGTACAGAGTTACTTTCAAAAATGACTCTGATTTTCAGAGAAACAGAGTAATTTACTCTGAAAACGTGAGGCCTGGTAGGTGCATGGAAGTGGGGCAGCTGAAACTGAGACAGCTGAATCTCGGGCAGCTCAGCATTCTACCTCTGTCTTCTTCTGGAGGCAGCAGCACAGAAGGAGGCAGCAGCAGGGAAGGATGCAGCAGCACAGAAGGAGGCGATAAATGGCCTGGCCAAGGCAGGGTAGGTGCATGGTGCTGTGGCAGCTGGTCCAACCAGAATCTCGGGCAGCTCAGAATCCAACCATATACTGCGATTATGGTGCTCTTCTGGAGGCAATAGATGGCCTGGCCAAGGCAGGGTAGGTAGATGGAGCTTTGCTTGAAGAGAGGTTGTTTTGCTACTAGTTTCTGGAGTTTGGCATTTACGTAGATTTGGACCGCGCTTGCTTCAACTTCCAGTCGCACGGTTTTCCACGCTGATCTATGTCGCATGACTAACGGTCAAAACAAAACAAAATCAACTATGGTTTGGGGCCGAATATTAACTCAAAAACTTCGTTTCTACCGTGTAAGCGAGATGAATGAGATGTCATCGTCGATTGCGCTGGAGACAGCGCGACAGGATTGAGAAGTACTCGCGGTCAAGAAAAACAACTACTTACAATAAAAACTCTAAAATATCGAATCGATGATCCCTTCTTCATCGTTTTCCTTGAATTTTGGGCTGGTTTGATCTGGAGCTTCTGATTGGCTACGGAGCTGATTCGTGCAATAATTGGGTCAAGCTGCAAAATTTCCCGCCAAAAACGGGACTATAGGGGTCGGGCCAACCCTAGGCGATATCGGAAAATTCTACTCAGGGGGAAAAAGGGACTCTCTCAGCGAGGGCCTCTAACCCGGAACACCTGTAGTGGAGCATGGTGGGCGGCACATGCGGCGTTTGACAATTTACTTCGCTACCCCTTTACCCCGGCCACCCCAGTTTGCCGCACTACCCTAGTAGCAGCACCCCCGTTGATAACCTCACCGCTGATTCGTGGGCCCATTTCGCTCATCGACCGTCTACTCGCACCGCCATTTCCAAACCGCCTGCGATTAGGACCGCCTGAAGGCAGGGCCTCAGATTGGTTTTTGGGTACCCTGAGCACTCAGTGTCTCTAGGAGGGTAACACTGATTTTCAGTGTCGTCTAGTGTGAAACACTGATTTTTCAGGGTTGTTAGAAATAAAACGCTGATCAATCAGGGTTTCTAAAACTTCAACACTGATCAGCATAGTTGCTTATACTGGTATGCTGTCATAACACAGCGAATCAGACTGCCCTCACTTTACAATTCCCAAATTCGGCCAAAATTTTGCTATTTCCGTGTCTGATTGGTCAGAAATCTTGTCTGACCAATCGAATAGGACAATTGTTAACAACTGTTTCCGATCTCTGGTTGTGTACTTGACTGATGATTCGGACTTGGTTCGTCACAGCAGATTCGCCCTGACAGCAAATTCGACCTTGCACAGTCGTTACGCGCTGTCGCAGCACAGCAAATTCGCCCAATCACAGCAGATTTGCCCTGACACTGCAGCAGATTCGCCCCTCACACAAGAGATTTGCCCTGTCAGAGCATGTTTCGCCAGAAATCCCCTTGGTGCACGGTGCACGGTGACGGCGGGCCAAAACAAGGAGTTTTTGGTTTCAGGGTAGACCTCGATACAACACTGACTCGTCAGTGTCCTCAAACACAAAACACTGGAAAATCAGAGTTCGAAATTAAAAAAACACTGAAACATCAGGGTCGTTGAAAAAAAAAGGCTGATGCATCAGGGTCATGATAAAAAACGGGGGTCAAACTTCAGGAATTCAGGGTAAAATTCCTGACATCTGAGGCCCTGCCTGAAGGCCATCCCAGGCTGAAGAGAGGAGCGCTGCATAAACCATCAACACCCATCCAACAATCCTGTCCGCACATCTCCTCGATGGATGCGACGTCGCGCTGTTCGAAACAAACAACCTTCCCGCCTTCGACCAGGGGTGCTGGGGGGTACCAATCAGTCGATCACATTTCGCTCATTTTTGTCAAACCTAACAATGTCAACTTCTTAGCCGTTTACGCCTGGGCCTCGATTGATAGGCGTGCGGAAGTGCGGCGAACGTGAGTCGTAGCGAGCGAGTATCAATCACCCAGTGAGCATTCTTATCTCGCAGGCATATAAACTACTCATGTCCACCCGCGCATGATCATCTGCTCATAGCCACTCTCGCCTCCCGTCCACCCCAATCGTAACAACCACGTTCCCTACTACTGCTATTAGCACTCGCAAGACCGACTCCGTGGGACGAGAGCAACGTTCGCCGCTACTACTGCTGTGGGACTCACGTCGGCCCACCTCTCGGACCTTCGTCCGTGCTCACCGAGCAAACCACCTAGTCCTGGACATCATCTCACGGACTGAAGCCAATTATTGCCCGCCTTCGCCTGGACCTGAAGCCAATTACTGCCCGCCTTTGCCTTGGCGGACCTGAAGCCAGTAATTGTCGGGCGAATGGCGTGCGTCAAGTGGAGCCCCGTCGGCCTCCCCCTACTGCTGCTGCTGCTCCTCGCGGGTAAGTTAAACCCCATTTGCCCCCCCACCCCCGCTTGCTGCTGCTGCTGCTGTTGCCGCTGCTCCTCGCTGGTAAGCCGCTTACTAGCAGCGAGAGAAGTTTAAAGCCCGAGTCTAGAATGGTAAGGGTTCAACTTCAAGATTCTTGAACTTGAGTTCGTCAAGAACAGGGTAACCAGATTGAGAAAGCTTCTCCCTCGCGACCCACCGAGAAGGGAGTTGGTGGGCCAGAAGGTGATTGGCCAAATGCCCCACAGCAAAAACAGCGACGAGCCTCGCCAGAAACAAACAAGAACAAGTATCACTGTTCACACTTTCAGAACTTGAAACTCGAGAATACCTTTCTAGACTCGTAGCATAGTGTGCTCCATAGCCCTAGTTCTCGTCTTTAGCCGAGTATAGTTATGCCCATCTCCGTACTATGCTAAGACTTTAGTAGCACATAGAGACGACCCTTCCCGTTGACTTTTCCGCGCATAACAAGTGCGATCTGGTAGCCAACAGCAAATCCAGAATGCCGCCTCGATTAATCGCCATCGTAAGAATCACTCGTCGCCACTGACGGTTATATCGCGTTAGCCGACACTCGCATAGCCAATAGCGAAATCGTCTATGACACCTCGACAGTCACTCCCGTCCCACACTCAATCCCTTCCCGCACTCAATCAAATCATTCACAGACTGCTGTCGCTCTCCCACTTCTATCATCCACACTCGCCGGAGGCACATGTCACTTTCTCAATCCCGTCACTCACTCACAGCCATCGCTTACACACTCCCGTCGCTCACTAACTCCCATCGCTCACTCAATCCCGTCGCTCACACACTCATTCCCGTTCCGCCGTCACTCCCGTCGCGCCTTCACTCCCGTCGCGCCTTCACTCCCGTCGCGCTCTCACTCCCGTCGCACTCTCACTCCCGTCATCCACACACGTCGCAGGCACATGCCACCCACACGCGCCATACACGACTTAATCACACATGTCCCTCTCGCATCCCTCCTCCAGACCCTCTCTTTTCCTCTCCTCCCTTGGCTCTTCCCTTCCCTACGCGGTGCTCCCCCTTCCCTACGCGGTGCTCCCCCTTCCCTACGTGATGCTCCCCCTTCCCTACGCGCTGCTCCCCCTTCCCTACGCGCTACTCCCCCTTCCCTACCGCTGCTCCCCCTTCCCTAAGCGCTGCTCCCCTTTCCCTACGCGCTGTTCCCCCTTCCCTACGCGCTGCTCCCCCTTCCCTACGCGCTGCTCCCCCTTCCCTACGCGTCACAGACGACTTGCCCACACATGTTCCCATCTCCCCTCTCCTCCCTTCCCTTTTCTTTCCTCTCTT